ATATACTTGCGCACGCAGCAATCAATCAATTCGCATGGATGTTCATATAGACACGCGCGCGTGTCAGTGTGGCTACGGCTACACGTCACAATTGCGGCGTATGAACCGCGTTACTCTTAATATCCATGAATATAATAGAAACAAATAATGTTCCTGCATAAACTTTCGAACGCATTGTTTTCCCAAATATTTTACCATTTCCAATCTTGTTTCTGTTCCTATCAGCAACTTTTTATTTCTTCAACACATAGGAAAATTGTTTGCAGCAGCTGCTTTGTCCTCATTGCCCTCATCTTTAACAATGACTTCAAATCCTCCGCTAAACTTTTAGCTGAACAGCTGTGCTTAAAAGAGTGCTCGAATAGTGTTTTTGTCACTTGACGAGCTCGTAGCAATCAACGGAACACTAGTGTTTTTCACGACAAATGAAAAAACAGCGCGCAACACACAGACTGACACCTGGAAAATTGTGTAAAGCTGAAAGATAATCGGTGAAACGTGACGAGAGACAGATGGATGATTGAGATGACAAGTCAATAAGTTAGGTAACAATGAAAGAGAACTCGTTGATTATTATATGATGGTTTCAAAGATAAGGAGTTCAAGGAAGAAAAGGAACAAAAAAGGACAAGTTTCTTAGTAGGGAGTTGCAGTTACATACTATCTGTATATTTATGGATTCCCAAGAAAATGTGATCACCGTTTGATCGTAAAGAAGTATTTTATTTCCAAATCTTTCTAGACCTTACTCCTCACCTGGGGGGCTAACCAAACCTTAGATTTCTACTCAAGATCTTTTTTTTCGTTACGGTAGGGTTGCCATAGGTGTTAACTTACGTTTTTTTAGCCCTTAAAAAATAGATTGTCATTGAAAAAAAAGGAAAGAACGACGCTGGAAATGTTGGGACGGGATTATAGCGGGCCTAATCCACTTATGATAACCCGCGGTACCGAAATTTTTTTATGAGGCGGAGTGCTGTAGGTGCTTTAGGCCACGTGTGAGGCCACATCCAGCTTTAGAACTTAACAGTGCTAAAGGAAGATCCTTCTAGTAATGAGAACCTTCAAGCTAGTGTTTACGGCTTTAAAAGATTTGGAGTAAAAATTTGTTTATGGTCAAACAGTGAGCACATTTTTTGGGAAAGCGTAAACATTTGGTTTCGGACGAGTTCGTGCCGTTTCTTTCAGAGGCAAGTTTTTGAAGCGCCGAATGTTTTGACAAAACAGTGAATCATGCAGAAGTAGAAGCACTTCCTCTACAAATTAGTGCTTTTTATTTCCCAAACGAATGGGTATTGTTGAATTGATTGAGAATGTAATATCAAAAGGCGGAAAGAGCTCAACCGATAGTTTAATGTTGTGAGGAAGCTAGAACTTACAATAACCTTACCTCAGTAATTGGCTGTACTTATTACAAATATTATAGACATCTCACGGTACGATTTAGT